ATGTCTTTAGAAGCTGTCATGAGTCAAAACGACTGACGCAAACTGTTGCATTATTTTTTTGTTGAGCCTAAACCTTGGTTTTTAGAGTGTAGCAGGAGTTGTAGCAATACTGTGATTAAGTGTTACTACTTTTATAAAAGTAGTCTTTCACCACTCTGTATGTGAATGATTTCATCAGCACCCCGATAATGACATTAATCATAACGTGCGTCAGGAGTTGATTCAGAGTGATAAGAAATGACAGGTGCAATAACAAGATTAACTAAATCAGTGCCGGCACGATGACACGTCCTGGCGTTCTGGCTTTAAAGATAGAGATCAGAACGCCTCCTTGGTTGCATTTATTTTGAGGTCACCGTGTGTATTTTCAAAGCACGAACAGTAGATACAGAACGCTCTGACAGTTTTCCCTCTCAGTAACTATTATCCGAGCCAAAATACTCTGTATCTACAGTTGCAGCGTAGCCGCACACTGCAGTGCAGCGGCTTTGGTGTTCATATGCTGTGGGTGTTACTGAACCACCCAGACTTCACTTCTCCTGCAGGAGCGTCTTGAAAGGCTTGTCAGATCTTAGGCGAACACATCTCCTCTGCCTCCTACATGGTCTGACACCAAATGTACAGCAGAACCATGGTACAAGCACAAAACAGCCTGGGTTCAAGGACAGTTCGCCTGCTCATTAATATTTTAACCGCCTCCTGCTGGACTACTTTCTCTATTTCCAGCTCTCTATCCACTGCTGCTTCCCTTTCTCTCTCTTCCTCTCTTTGCCTCTAACTAAAAATCGTTTGATGGCTTGACTGCTCTCTTTTTGACAAGGCGTACAGTGACAATAGTGGCGAGGCAGTGTTTTGAATACAATGGAGACATCAGTGTGTGTCTGGAGGTAATTAGGCCTGATTTCTCTCCCTGCGAGAAGTCAAACACTGCAAAAGGTCAGAAAAACAACAAACGCCTACAGTCTCTGGCAGTGTGGCACAGCATTTTCACACAAACAATCCTCGAAGCGACTGGACAACCTTCACTCCGTTTCTCCGAGCTCAAAGGCACGAAACAAAAACCATTTCAAATGCTTTAAATGTGGCCAATTATCCTTTATTCGATGTATAGCTTGTAAACTGCGAGGAAGAATCATTATTTGTGACAATGGGGGATGTTGGTGTCTGTACGTACGAGAGCTGGGTGAGATCGGCGGCGTGGAGGCTCAGTCTCTGGGTCAGTCGCTCCATCAGGTCCAAGCCCTGGTCAGTGGTGAGGGAGCTGGGGGAGGAAAAAACACACAGCGAGGCGTCACATTTGAAGGTTCATACCCGCGCAACATACCCGCAGCCACTCAGCTGTTAAAATACTATTTTTTTTTAGGGAGATACTGCCACAATTCATACCCACAAATGGGTCATTGCACACAAGCAAAGCTATGGTTGTCTGAATGGATGTACTGCACACATTTGCACACCCGTAGACACACACAAGCACAAACAAACACACAAAGCAGTGTGCCAAGGGAAAAGGGATCAGCTGCCTCTTCAGGCTTGGTAAATCACCTGCTTTTTTCCAGCAATGAGACAAACAATAAGGTGCAAATGGAACCTGCATGAGGTGTAATGGCTGTATCATATGGACGCTCCTTTCTCTCTCCCCGCCTTCGCTCATCTTTCTTCTTCTTTCGCCTACATTCACTTGCTTTCTCCCGGCGCGCACGTACGCTCAAAGTAAAACACGATAACAGCGAGTACACAAACACGCTGTGCACGCGCCCTCACGGTGAGATGAGAATAATAAGGTGCAAATGGAATGGAGGTGAAGTGTAATGGTGGTCTGATAAAGCCATGCCTCATCTCAGCTCAGTCCACGGCTGCTCTCTCACTCAGAGAGTAAATCGCCAAGGAAATAGACCAAACAAAGGCAATCTGCCGGCCAGCGCGTCGTATGGAGGAAATGAGAAGGGCATCCACACAAACACACTCAGAAAGCTACTTTATTGCTGACAGCTTAACCTGGAATCACTGAGACTGCCAAGTGACTGCAAGGTGACATGCACCGAGAAGTCATGGATCATAATGAGACATTGTTCAAATTTTGTTACCACTCCATAGCAGGGAAATGTGAAATAAACTGGGAAACAATTTCACGCTACACTGGGTATTGAGTGCAGTATCACTTATATGTGCTCTTTTTTCAGACACTCAGCATCATCTCGAGTTAAAAAAAAAAAGGAGGTTTTCCTTCGACGTATTCCAGTCAGAATTATGCTGAAATATTTTGTTTAGCCCGCATTTGACACCACATTACAGCAGCTTTTCTCTAACAGAACAGTGCGCCGTGCACGAGTGGCTGATTCACTCCACCTTTGAGAGAGTGGGAGGTTCTTTTTTCTTTTCTTTTTTTTTTCCCCCTCCACTTTTTTTTTGAGGGGTTTTGAAAGTTAAAGATTTACCGAAGCAATTCCAGACACGTTTGCATCCCTCTGCGGTAATTCTAGCAACTGGAGAGCTCCAGGAGTGACTTGGTTGTTGATGCTAGCACTTTTCCCCTTGGGTTTCTCTCTCTGTCTCTTTCTCTTCTATCCATACCTTTTCCACTTCCCCCTCCACGTATACCACCCTCCTTCCTTTTCTATTCCCCAAACCTCACCTCCTCCTCCTCCTCCCCCCCCCCACTACCACCACCACAATGTCAGGAGCTGTCAGATAAGCAGGTTTGCGTAGCCACACTGCGGGGTGCGAAGAAGCCGGGGATAACAACTGTGCAATCATGAGGTCTGCAGCGAATGCAGAGACACCTCTATAGGCCAACTATAGGTGTCCGCTAGGTGGGCCGAGGATAGACAAGGAGGAGGAAGATATTTCACTCAGAAGGTGACCTGTTTCTTTCCCCCCGGCGCATACTCACCTATAGTGTGTGTTTACGTCTTAATCTGCTATTCCTATTTGTGTGGCAATGGGGTGACAAAGACTGTACCCATCGGACCTTTATGAGACTCCGCGTGTTGAACAGGTGAAGGACAACTCGCTGACACTGGACTTGATAACGCCATAAAGGGATTTGAGAGCGGGCCAGAGGCGAAGACACAGTCGATAGGAACTTATCTTCGCTGAGCCTGAGCTGAGTGAGAGGTAAGAGAGACGGAGAGAGAGGGAACCTGGCTACCCTTCCTGACAAAGTATCATCATTAAAGCTGTAATACAGCACAGTAATACCCACACACTGAGGGATTTATCATCGCCGCTATTGTAATCAGGTACAGCGCACACTGAGGATTTCCAACGACAGTATCCTTTTTCCGCGAAGACGTGAACATGTGGGTGGTTTTGACAGAATTTACGTCTCTTAAAGGCGGTTTTAAGTAAGAGAACAAAGCAGATGTATGCTTGGTGTTAAGGTAAGTAAAATGAGGCGGACTTGAAACGGGTCCAGCAGCGCGGCTGACGACTGGTGGGTGGAGCAAAAACTTGCGATGAGCTACAATGTCGAGCCTCAGGAATGAGAGCGGGATTGAAAAACATGTTTTTGATAATAATAATGACGAACACAGAGAGACTTTTAGTTTTTCAGTTCCTCCTGGGGAGCCCTGCAGAAATATTTATGCATAATTAATTGATATTGTAAATTTTCATCTGAATAAATTAAATAAAAGTGTTTTGGAATCGATAATGGTGTGCACTCTCTTTGTCTGCCAAAACGAGAGTACTATTTAACAGTCCTGAGCACGTGTTAACACTTTATTGAAGGTGTTTGATCGTAATAATTTAGTAAAAACCTGCAAAGTAACAGCGTTTCACAGCAGAACTTTTAGGTCTATCAGTTTATTAAAGGTGAGTGTTTGTAATAATTTAGAAAAATGTGTAAAGTACAAGTGCTTCTCCATAAAACATACAATGAAAATATCAGTAAATTGATTGTTTTTGTACTTTATCTGAATTACTTGATCGCACAGTTATTATTTGGAAGATGTTGTTGCCAGACATCTAGAAGTTTTTTTTTTTTTTTTTTACAGTGCATGTTTATCTCTAGACTGTCTCATATTCTACACTCTGATCTAAAGACAGCTCATATCCAGTGAGACAAAACACAACAAACACTAGAATGAAACACCTTTGAATTCTAATGAATTCTCATCATTCATGACAAGTCAAATTCTTTCAAACCATAATGAATCTACCGTAATGAATCTGTGCAACCAGGTGCAGTCAGTCACATTAAAACCATTTAACTAGCCATCTAATATTTATAGAAAAGGATCCGTATTATTATAATCATATTTTGTATGCATTATTTATAGTATTATTTGTTAAGACACCAAATGTCTAATTCCTCTATTTCTAATCACCAGCTGGATTTCACCATCTGTCTGGACTTATTCAATGCTGACTCCGAACACAATGATTTAAAAATGAAATAAGAATCTGAAACACTAATATCTCTACTAAAGATTGTTGATTATATATATTATGTGTGAAATTTCTTCACAAAAACATATGATATTGATTCTGAATTCTATTATTTAGGTACATTTGACACCCAAACTTTCTTATTTATAAGCTTTGCAAATTTTATTTCTCTGATACAACTGTGCAATAGTTCAAATCTAACCTTCGCAGCCGTGAACAGTACATTTTCTTACTAACAAAGACAAATGATCTTTTTTAGACACTGAAACAGCAGTCTCGCTGGGTTTCGCTCTTGGCCCACTTCCCTTCAGGGCTTAACAGAATCATGTCACAGAGCAGATTTTCAGATGGACAGTACAGGTCATATATTTATCTGCTAGAACTGCTTTATCAGTTTCTGCCCAGCTGTCACAGCATTTGCAGTCCATCCAGCACGGTTTAGAAACTCGTGTCCAACACTCAACATTACATTTAGAAAACCTGTGTCTGTTTTCTTCTGGATAACACCACTGCCACATTCTTAAGAAATGAAATATGTTTAAAATAAGCTTTGATTTATGCCATTAAATTGCTCACATAGTCATAACACTTAACACTGTCATTTTATGGAGTTTTAATACATCCTCATTTGTAAATTACTCTTGTTATGTCTGTGCAGTTTTGGTATGTGGAATTAGTTCATACTACTCTTAAATCATTCTAGTATCAGTGATGTGCAGGAATCATACTCACTCTGATCCAGTGATGATGTAGCCAAAGTGTCTGTCCTTCCCTCTGCTGGAAAACTCCTTCACCCCCACATGGACCAGCTGGGTTTTGACTCTCATGTCCTTCTTCTGCGGCTCCTCCAGCTGCTTCTTCCCCGCCGGGCCCTGAACCCCCTGCATCCACCTCTCGATCTCAGAGTCCACCTGCGCGTCAGGCCTCTCCGCCCCGCCGGTTAATCGCAGGGTGGCGCCCTCCTTCGCGGGTTCGACCGCAGTCTTCTCCTCCCAGCGGTGGACGTCGGGAACTCGGTCCTGCGTCGTGCGGCTCCTCACGTTCTCCAGTCCGACCATTTTCCGGAGGGGAGCCGGCGGCCCACTGTTGACCTCTGGAGCATCGCCAAAGGGCTCCATGTTGAGGTAGTCCAGCAGCTTGGAGAAGAAGGCTGCATGCTGTTTTGAATCACGGAAGAATTTGCTTTAGAATAGTGAAGACATTTTTTTATTCTAATTTTACCTACATATTACTTCCAGTTTCCTTACATAGGAGAAGTTATTATGCTCTGAGGAAAATTAATTAATACCTTGAATAAAGACTTCAGCTCTATTAGAAACGTCAGTCACAGAAAAGGTATGAATTTGTGCTGCATTCTCCACCGTTTCTGAGTCTGAATTCTTGTCCAAGGTCTAACAACATCCTTTGTCCTTACAAATTATTACAGGGTGCATTCAGTAGCTTTTAGTATAGTTAACAAGAGATTTGTGGCATTGTGCAAAACCATTTTAATTCGTATCGTTTCATTCAGTGAAAACACAGAGATTGGACAACAATCAAGAAATTTTCCAAGGTTCTGCAGTTGTGAGTTTGCTTTCAAGTTGTAATAATTCAACAGTAAATGCGGGTCTGCACAACTTTTCAAATCATCCCTATTTGAAGTAGCATTCAAAAGTGAATAAAGTGTAGGTTTGGACATGTCTTGCTCCCAGAGAAACCAATTTGTTGGTTGAGCAGAGTAATTTTAAATTCACCTTGTCAACGGGCTCTTTGTCTGCACCGTCTATTTGTTGGCCTGGAAACAAACACAATGTATGTGAGCAGATTGTGTGAAAAACTGAAGTTCTCTTTTGTATTTAGCAAAGAAAACACAGTTATGACTCAAACGAGAGACTCAAAAATACATTTGGCAGGACTTTGTATGAGGATTATATAAAAAAACTGCCTAATTAAAGCACTTATAACCGTACAATGTCTCACATTCTTATGTCTAGGACACAAAATATATGCGTAAGTGCTCTGAACGCTGCCAACTTTTATTCTCTTAGACGACAGCAGAAGCACCAACCTTGTTGTTTCATTCTCGGTGTGTCTTTCTGGTTTAGATCCTGCCCTTTATCTGATTTCAGGTCCTGGTTTTGATTCAGATGCATTTCTGCCAGTGGCTCCCTGTTAGCCTCCATCTCCCCCCTGGAGTCAGTGGCTCCTGGTCCTGGCTGGGTCCCAAGCGCCGGCCGCTCCTCATCCACCTCCTGCAGGGCTCCTGTGATGACCTCAGCCAGCTGGTCCAGGTCTTTGCCCATCAAAGCCTCCATGTGGACGCTGTGTCTGCCCAGCTGGTTCACCATATTCTGGATGAATTGCTCTGGAGAGAAAGAGACGAATGAAACCACACAATCAGATTATATTTAAATGTGTTAAAAATACACAAAAAAAAAAAAAATAGAATGCTTAAGAAAATATTGACAAGCTACTACAAAAATATGAATAATGTGGTGCAAAAAATAAAAGCTGGAGTGTGAAATTGTCATAACAAGCCACCAAAAAGCCCATCTTACCATCCATGACGTTGAGAGGCTGTTTCGCGGACAGTCGGTTTGAGCCGGCCTTGAACAGCAGCCTGTCTAGATTAGGCCTTTGGGTCTTGGAGCCAAAAGCGACCTGAGTCTGCGGCTCTGCATGGCCGATCGGAGTTGGCTGCATGTAGCTGAGGTAGTGGAGCTTTCCTTTGGGCGACGCGGCCTCGCCACCTGGGCTGCCCTGCTGAGCGCCTGGTGCCCCGGAAAGAAGCCGTTCCAGATGGCCGGAGAGGAGTTTGCTCCTCCCTGGGTCCTGGTTGGAGTAGCTTGTACTGAGCTTGGGGTGCCTGCCCTCTCCACTCTGGGTAAAGACTTTGGTGACGGGAGGTTGGCCAGCTCCTTTCTGCAGGCTGTAGATGGTGGTCTCCTTCCAGCCCTGCTGGGGTTTTGGCCGGCTGGGCTCCAGACGATCAGCAGACTTGATGTCTTCATTCTACAACACAACATGGCCGGTTTACCACCTTTAGAGCTGTGTGAATATGTCAAACAGTATTTTTAACATGTTCATGATGTGACTCTTTGGATGTCCTGGTCAGTTGTGCCGCCACTTTAGTCTAGACCAAAATATTTCACCAACTATTGGACGCACCCTGGTGATATTAAGTACTAACATTCCCCTTTAACATTAACTGTAATAACTTTTCTTACCTCTTTGTAGAGACATTTTAAAGACTCCCTCCTGTTGACATTCATTTTTTTGCCATCTTAAAATTTCCATGTGGTGCTTTTATATAATGGAAATAAACAATCAACACCACAGCATTTCCACTTTGGAATGACAAGTCTCAAAAACGCAAACTCAGACTTTCAGGGTTTCACATATAAGAAACCTGAGAAATTAATCCTGTCAACTTGCAAGCTGAAGCCTCTGTGTCATTATTTTTCTTTAATTCAATAAATGTAATTCTTCAGAGTTGAATTTAAAGTTCTACTTATTGTCTGTAACTCTCTGAGTGGTCTGGGGCTAAAATATATTGGAGATGTTTGATACAAGCCTGAAAGAGCGGCTCCCCTTGGAACTTAGTCGTGGCCCATTTTTTAGGAATAAGCTGCAAACTGTTCCTTTTTCCACTGCTCTTAGGTAATCAGCGTTATTATAAAGTTTTGTCTGAACTAAGTGTACTTTTATTCAACTTGTCTGTACTTTCGTTCACCTAATTTTAATTAATTTCTTTTCTATTTTAATGTATATTTTATCTCTTATATGCTTTTATTTTTCTCATCTCTTAGCTGTTTCAGTCAATCACTTTTAATGATTCTATAAATCTGTGTTCACCTTATTCAACTTGTCAGCACTGTTTTTAATTGATTCAATTAAATAAGTTTTTATTACATTATTTTTTAAATTTCCTTCTCTTTTTTTTCTTTAAAAAGAAAATAATTCAAATAACCTGTGTATGATAAGGTCGTGCATAAATAAATGCTTGCTTCAGAACTGTTTTCCAGTTTGACTTGCCATCGTGTAGAGTAGCTTTACAGTGCTTGAACTGAGTTGTAGGAGAGCTGGTGTGCTCGAGCTGCAGCAACCAGAGGAGCGCTGAGTAAAGAGAGCGGCAGGGACTTCAGAGAGTGTTGATATATGTATATTTTAGTCAAGCTTTTGATTGTTTTGATAGATTTTGTTTCATTTGTACCCTTCCTAGAATTCCTTTTATTTACTGACTTCTGTATTCATTCACCTATTTACATATTTATTACTTCATTTTTATCATTTCTTATTATTTTTAGCATTTTGACTTCTGTCTCTACCGATTTTAATAATAGATATTTCATTTACTTATCTAGTTTCTTTTATCTTTTTTATTTTATTTTATCTCATCTGGTAAATGGTCTGCACTTATATAGCGCCTTTTTCTACCTTAGCGGTACCCAAGGTGCTTTACAATGTGTTTCGCATTCACCCATTCACACACAAATGGCGACAGAGTTGCAATGCAAGGCGGTCATCAGCTAAGCAACTTGGGGTTCAGTGTCTTGCCCAAGGACACTTCGGCATGTAGTGGGGACCAGGGATCGAACGGACAACCTTGCCATCAGTGGACAACCCGCTCTACCACCTGAGTCACAGCCGCCCCATCTGGTGTTTCCTCTGCTCTTCAGTCCTTGTGTTTTAGAGTCCTGTATTGATAACTTGACTGTGAGGGTGGGTTTGGGGGAAGAGGTGGGGGATGTCTGTGTTGTTTTATTGCATTTTTATTTGTTAAGCACTTTGTGTCGCCTTTCGTGTTTGTATGAAAAGTGCTATATACATAAAGTCTGATTGATGCATTGATCTGCACATTCTAAACGAAGCAACAGACCAGAGTTGCATTTCAGCCACTTTAAAGGTCCCATATGGTGGAAATCCATTTGTTATTGTGCTTTGTGGTTGTTGTAAAGTTTGAGGTGTAAAATAAATGCTGTTAAGATATGAAGACATTTACTTCTGTCATTCATCAAGGCCAAGCCACAACTGGTTAGCCTTCCAGCTTTACCAGTGAGTAAGACTTTGACCCAAATGCTGTGTAATACCAATCAATAGTTGACCAGTGAGTAAAACTGCCCATTTAGAACAGCCTTAAAACCATCACCAGTATTTTAAGCATTAAAACTGAAATGCACACCGGGAACCAATATGGGACCTTTAATGCGAAAAAGGCTCATTTTTGAACAACCAGAAAGGGACTTTAATCTGTTGTCTATGGTCATATACCTGCAGATATAATATCATCCCATCAGCCTCAGTTGTAATTTGTGTTTAGTGCTAATTAGTTAATGTGAGTCTGCTGTCATGCTTGGCTAAGAAGGTGGAAGGATCTGGAAAACACCATCATCTTAGCATTGTCATTGTCAGTATCGTAGCATACTAATATTAGCCTGCACGCCTGAATACAACCACACGGAGCCACTGGAGACTCTCTGGCTTGTTTTGTACATTTCTTGCGAGCTGAAATGACAACGTTCATTTTGATAAATCTTCAACCTAATCTGAGCTCTGCAATAGTTTTTTTTTTTTCTCTTTTCCCCTCCATGGGAACATTAAATGGGTTGTACTGGGTCAGCATTGTTGTGACAGGCTTTAGTATAAAAAGAGAAGCAACCTGGGCTCGACGAGACAGGACAGGATATGAATAGGGATTCTAGATCAAAGACAACTGCCCTTGGAAATTCCATTATGGAAATCATAGATGAGATAGTGTCACTCAAAGAGTAATTTCATGCATTTCCACAACACACAACAAACTTTAAAAGCATATCCCCTCTGTCAGAGACGCAGCAGCAATCCCCTATCTAAAAAGAAAAAATTATGAGTCATCTGATTTCAAAGTTAGTCATATGAGTTTATATTTGACACATGATGAATAATGCATTCACATTACAATGCACTGGTACACAAGCATTTAGAGGCCTTTTAACCATTTGGCATTGTGGTTGGTATTGCTATTGGCACCAAAATGTGTGATTTTGTCCTTTCTTCTCCCTGTGAGGAAGAGGAATCATTCTTCTCATCTGAATCATAAGAGCCCACGCTTGAGTTTAGCATACAGTACATCCGATCCACTGAACAGCATTATTATCCATGTCACTGCTGCACTAATACTAGCTATCTCCCTTGGTGCCATTTTCTGTCCTTCAAATGTATATAGAAGAAATGTCAGTCTTTCCAATCCCGGCATACTGAGAGGCTATAATGGCATTAGCACAGCAAGACGGGGCTGCTCTGCCATTCATGCTAACCATGTTTGCCTTTTTCCATCACACTATACAACAAAGGAGCTCATTTCATCAATAAGGAAGGTCCTGAACTCTTCAACTTTGCATTATGGCGGCACTGACACAGTAGCAGCAGGCGGCTCGGCTATGAAGGATGCAGAGCGCATTTCACAAAGAGCCGGGCGTCCACCCTAAATATGAGGATTGAATAATGTAAAGAGGTGATGGAGGATTTTTGTGCAACAGGAGGCCACGCTCAGTGGAAGACGGAGAGAAGACAGAAAGTGAGAAACAAAACAAAGCCAGGATGAGAGGGTGACCCTGGTAAAAGAGGGACACCAATAGGAATAGGCAATCGTTATCCGTTAATTTAGACAAGGAAAATATGTTTTTTGTTAATTACACAATGTTTTGAACCCTCCTGTTGGATGTAAAAGTGGTATCTACAGCAAAGCAACTAATATTTTGTGTCACTTCCATAAGGTGAAGGAACTTTTTAAAACTGGCAATCTCTCTTTATGTGTTAAGCTCCAAAAAAAGCACTACATTTCCCATAATGCAAGTGGATTGAATTTTTCATAAGATTCGCCATGCCTCTTAAATATCCAATTCTTCTAAATTATAAACCAAACTGCTAAATTGTAATGCAGGCTTTCTGTAAAATGTTATAAAGCTAGGGAAGGCAGTATTTTCATACTAACCTTTTAGCTTTTCATTCTGTTTTCAAGTTTTAGAAAATTTAGCCACTTATAGGAGATTTTGAAGGAGACTTTTATTTGGGAGAAAAAGGTTTGAATAACAGGTGAAGACACAAATGAATGCTGACTTTTAGCTAGTTGTCTTTGAAGCACATTCTAGTCCAGTGGAGGAGCTTAGAACAGAAAAGTGAGAATTTTTGTATTTTTCTTGATTGTTTTTTTGCCTTTTCCAGATTTCCATCTACTGCAAATTTAATTGTGAAGTCCAAGCCATCATAACCCTGAAAGCATCACTGAAAAAACAGATTCGCCCTTGCTCCCATTGTCCTTTCAAATGGCATTATGTGATTCTATGTCTATTGTGTGGTTTGGAGTGTCTGTGTGGTGATTATATATTACCTTGTTTACTGCTGCATGTAGGACAAATTGCACCTCGGGGATAACCAAGATTACCCCCGACATATCTATTGTAACATCATCACATCGTGACCTTTTTTTAAAATCTTCCTGTTAATAAAACTTGTGTATTTGTCCCACCTCTTTGTTTCACTCAGCAGCTTTCAATGTGTCGGACTCTCACCTGAACCTTGGCTGCCTCTTGCTGGACACCTGGTCGTCCGGCCACCTCGGCCTGCGGCAGGAAGCCCAGCCCCGACAGGTACTGCTGGAGGTTTCTGTTCAGCTCAGAATGTGCAGGCCTCAGTTTCCTGTCTCTGGAGCTGCTGTAGGCCGTCAGGGGGCTTGGAGGAGTGGCCTGATGGCGGAGGGGGACGTGCCTCAACTTGGAGAGCTCTCTGGAGATGACCTGCTGGGTGATGTCGTCCTGCCACGTCAAACCTAAACACAGGGAGGTCAGGTTGGAATTTTAAACTGCGTACGATGCACAGATTCATCCCTCTGGGTCTGACTGAGAAGGTGCGACATCTTACTGCTTCATAACAAGGGAAAAGCTTTTTAATACCTCTTGAATACTCTGCTTTTCTCTGGGATAGACACGGCTGTACAAAATAAACAACTAACTGCAGTAAACAAATACAACAAATGGAGGACAGTGAACCTAATTTGCTCAACATATCCACTGGTGTATATGGGATTAAAGACGACAAACATCTAATAATACAACAATATAATAGAAGACCAAACTTCAAACATGGCTCGACTGCCTATGATAAGAAGAAATAGGAGAGAGAATTGGGTCTGGAGGGCCGGAATGAATGTATCTTTTAATTTGTTTCAGTTACTTGCACAAGACTTGAGACTAACTTCTTACTTTGGACAAAATTTAGGTGCACCCACATTTTTTCACCAAGCCTTTTGATGCTGCATTGTACATTTCAAGAGTTACCTTTGTTGTCTGTCCCCACATTGGTCATTTTTTTTAACACGTTATGTAACTAAAGCAGGAATTTATTTGTGATCTCAGACCTAAAGTTTGTAAAAAGTAGCTCATCTTTGATTATACTATAAGCAGAAGTAAATTTTGTCATCAATTCCGACTCCTCACTGCTTCGGTTTCTCACCGCCTGGCGTTTCAGCGCTGCGGGTTGGAGGGTTACACTCACCAGTCTCGGCACAGGACAAGATTTTTTAACATTTCAATTCGAAAATGATCTCTATGCTTTGGCAGCAGAAGCACCGTCCCCAGCCATGTTTAGGTCTGACACTTTCAATAAATTCAGCGCATAATGTTGTTGTTTCCCACAGGTTGAGAATTTACTTGTGGTGGTGGGTGGCACAGCGTGACTGATGTGCATGCAGAGGCTCATGCAGTTTAGAGAGGTAGAGTGCAATCAGGTTGTTTTCTGAAGCTACAATTTACTGATGTCCCCTAAACTTCTCACACGCAGACTGTCGGTGGATGCCGCTATTTGCTGATGACGCAGACCTGCTGAATGTGAGACACACAGGTGGAAACCAATGGAAATGTTGACTTGACTGATTTTTGGTTAAATGTTGTACTGCTGCAGCAAGAAACCATCTACAGGTAAAAGTAAATTAGTCAGTTATTTTTAAGATCAATCAATTAATTGTCAAGTCTATAAAATGTTGGAAAACGGTAAAAAAAAAATGTTAATTACAAGTTCCCAGATATTCTAATACCAAATACTGCAAGGAGAGAAAGTTTCTTTTTTAATCCTCTACTTGTTTCAGCCGTAAAACCAACACAAGACCTTCAAAAAGGAAGACTGCACTTCAAATGTCGATGAAGCAGACAGTACAGAGAAACCCATCTTTACTTTAAGACTATGATATGTGTGATATGTAAACTACTGAAGGAAAAAAAAAGATAGATATGTACAGCATATGTGCCTATAAAATGTAACATGTGTCACTAAAATGAGTTGTGACTGCACATGTCCTGATGTTCCCCTGACAAGTCTGTAATTTAACTTAAAATGATCAATAAAAACAGGGAGAAAAATAAATCTTTTCCATCTGCTGCATTGGAAATATTGGTTGAAATGTTTCTTAAGGACAGTGACTGTACTACACTCAACTCCAGGTAAATTGCTAGTTCTCTCAGCATTACAGAGTAACACCGCAAAACAAAACAGCCAGGATGAATCAGAAACAGCAGAGGAAGTCTAAAATTATGACACTCTAAAAGGGAAGACACGACTACACGTGCACACATGTAGAGACACATGTATGCACACACACACACCACAGCCAGTCAACAAGCCCGGGGAGAATGTCACACTGTGGCCTGACGCCGTGCCAACATCTCTGCTAATTGCCAACACATAGTTGGGATGCAGAACTCCTGGGCAGGGGCAAAGCGCAGCGGTGCCAGGACCAGATGGAGCTACCCAAGCAAAAAAGATACCCAAAACATGGCCCCATTCCCAATGAGCCAAGAGGCACAAGATTCCATCGGTAAAGAGCATAGAAATACCAAAGATATTATAGCTGTTGTAAAGAGTCAAGATGTTCACTGATTACGCTTCCATTCCAGTGTTGTTGTTTTTTTTTCTTTTGAAATGAGAAACAAGTAATTAGGTTGCGGTGCAGATTCCTAACGGCTACACACCTAACCTTTTACCAGACTCATCTAAAGAAACAATGCCGCTCATAATGATGCGGACATGTTTAATATCAATAAACTAACAGCCTGGGTGGAAATATGTGAAGAAATGAAAAATATCAACAATGCAGAATGTCTTCATTAGCCTGGTTTCTCACCCATAGACACTGGATATTCTCATAGATATTCATAAGCACCAGATGAGGATCTGAGCAATGCAGAGCAGCTACAGATGCCTCCAGTCATTCTTGGCAGCGCTGAATGGAGCACAAAGCAGCGTATGTTGTCACTGTTCTGGAACGCAGCTCAGCCATCCATCCGTACAACAATGACAGTTAACTACCCGTGGCTTACCCGATGTGGTGTATACTTGCTATATATTACCGCGGTGATGATCATTTCTGCTACCATCAGCGGTGACGGGTAAATCAGGTCTGGCTTCAGCCCTAAAGGATCCATATGGTACCTGCGGTTTACTGCAGCTGGTTAAATGGGTTCACAGTGAACGTGTGATGGCTCCACAACAGGACGAGGCTGGCTTCATTGACTGTGACACCTCTATCCCTTCTGTCTCCTGGGGGATGCACTCATTTCCATACATACCATGTTCTGTGTGTCTGTGATGGGCACACTTGAGGAGAAAAGGTATGCCAGCGCAAATTACAGAATCAAAATGAGCCATTTTGGAAAAGAAAAAGTCAGGGAGGAAAGTGGTGGGGCCTTTACGGTTGGATTCCTCTCAATCAACCTCTCAGCTGATTATCCTGGCACTGAGGAGCTAAATGTCATGCAAATTCATCTGTAAGTCCAGAGAAAGAGCAGGTTCCATCATCAAGTGCTGCCGCTTTTTGCCTGTTAAGGATAGCATCCCGTCTCAGGCAAATGCCTCAGTTAATTAACGCCTTGCCATTAGCGCAACAGCTTTCAAACAAGCAAGATATTTCTGTTGGCCTCCTGTCTGTTTTCTGTGTGACAGAGAGAGAGAGGGAGAGAGGGGGCCTCCTAAATATTCAAAGCCTATTAGATGGGATCCTGTCTACATGTCTTGTTGTTTCATCTGGTGTTTTTTGAAATGCAGATTTTCCCCTTTCCTTTACTTCTGTCCACCAACTGATTTTAAAGGCATTAATGGAAAAGAGCGTGAATAATTTAGCAGCAAGTTCTACCTAATTAGTCAAAATGAAATGTGTCACTCCAAATTTGACACATAAATTAAACCAACAGTGCAATGGTGAGGCGGGCGGCAAAATATGAATACATTAAGACGCGCCATTTGTAACATGTAATTCACTAGCTGGGAGTTTTATGTTATTTCAGACAAAAATGTTTTAAGAAATAATTCACCAACTCACATGAATCATCATCATTTTCTCTTACAATCTATGTCCAACAAATTCAGCCCGATATATCTGGTATCTAGGGAAACTTTAGAACCTCCACTAAAATATAAAACAAGTGTTTGGTTTCACAGCATGAGGTTATAACAACAGACCCCATACAGGTTTATTTTTCCTGCTCTCTAAGTATAAATTGCTATGACACTATAGAAAAATAGCAGTTTCAACATCTACAAGGAGACAAAAGATTATTTGGCCTTTATTGAAGGAAATCGTTTCTCTCAGAGTAAAAATCGGAAGCAGAAATTAGCCTGCCCTCGCACAAACATGGAGTCGCGCTGAATGATTCAATGCAGCCCCCTTGTTCTCCTCATAACGACTCAAGTTTTTCCACATGGCATGTCAGTGTGTGATCTGTCCTCTCCAGTGCTATCTAGCAAGGTTGTGAAGGAACAGACAATGCAGAACAAGAGGAAGAACAACACTTGGTTTCCTCGTCTGTCAAAGAAAGCATGTTTGCGCAGAAAGCAAAGTAGGAGTAACACGTCGTTTCAGTAGCACTGGAGGCGCAGGATGTCAGTTTATGGTCACTGATTCTCCCTGACTGACGATTCCTGTCAATGGAGCTAATGCAAATGTCACAATGCATCATCTTACTTGACTTGTCTGTAGTATGAGAGTAGCTGCTGCTCCACACAGGGTCTGGAGGTCAATCGACTGCAGGTTACTGTGCTCCGTCAGCTATCTACCACTGTAACACCCTGACATGATTGTCTCTGATGTTAAGCGTATGGAGTTCGACAGCGTAAACACTGGCCAGGAGCTGAAAATTTATGGCCTAAACTAGTCTGAAAACGCACAATAATCTGTGTTTATCATCTGTCGTGCCGTGAAACTAAGTAGTTAGTGTTGCTGTGTTTGTCAAGCATTCCCTCTTCAAAATTCATAGCAATTTCTAAGGTGATTTTCACACGTACATAGCCTTGGCATAACTGTTTTTATCATTAAAAATGCAATTAAATGTTATTCATTCTTACGGTTCATGCCCAACACAGAAAAACCGGTCCTGTCTTTCAACACAACTAAATTGCATTCTCTGTTACATTGTGAAAGAAACATATTTCCTCTCCAAAAGGTAAAACTGTGATGTTGTAAGAAAGGCTTCCAGCAGGTGGATGGAAGCCACAAAGTCAGTTTTCATTTACTGTTTTGTTAGGATTGGAAAGCAGACCTGTGGGGTTAAGTTTAGCAAAATATCACACTGGTTGACACTTCCCCTCCAATAACTGCATGTCAGAAGCTTAGGTAAGTTTAGGCACCAAAACTACTTGGTTAGTGTAAGGAAAATATAATGGCTGGGGTAAAAAAAAAAAACATATTTGAAGCTTCTTCTCCATTTTCTGCAACAAGGCAGAGAAAAACACATTGGACAGCAAACACAGTGCTTAGTTTTCTACTATACTACTGACTTTTGCTTCACTTTTCACTTTTAGAAGAGTCACTTCTGTTGGGTTTTCTGTTGAATTTTAAGGGGCACTATCTAGCGTGTAAGTTTACACTCTTTACTACCAATACTAAGTAAACAGGAAGTAACTTTAAACACAGAGAAAATAAATAACTTTTGTTGCAATGAACATTATAAATAATGTATTAAAGTGAGAGTACAATCTAAAAATTCAGTTTGTAAAACCACCCATTATTCTTGTGGCGTCTTTTTTTTGTAAACTCGCGTTAATAGCGGGATGTCTTCTTCTTCTATGGTGCACTATGCTGCAATGTGCTTCATTACTGCCCCCTGATGCTGCAGCATGGAAGTAGTTAGACAGCTGGATATGGCATTGCCACTTCTTGCCAATTCTTTCCAGTGGTCACTCGTGCTATTGACTATTTAATCCCCTGTTGTTTTATATTTGTAAAATATTTCTAGAGCCTTAAAGTGTAAAGTCTAACACATGTAGTGGGCCACACAGCGCGGAAATAAATAAATAAATAAATTAGGTCCTCTTGCTAATAGCAATTGGTGGCGCGCATGGACGCAGCGGCCCCTTCAGGAACAGTGAACGTTTAGTATCCCAGATGTTCATTCCGCAAAACTTACTAATTAAATGATCCTGAAGAAACGCTCCTTCATCTTGCCTGTACTACTGTGTATGTACAGCAAAATGACAATAAACTTGATTGGATTTGATTTAATGCACCATGTGAATCTTCATTAAAGTCTGGTATCTAATTGTTTTAAACATCCGTTGATGAAAGGCTTGCAGGTACTTTACAGTTGTAGTTGTGGCCAGAAGAAGCAGGAATAGGCAGCTTTCTACCGCAAGAATTCAGGAAAGGCGGAAGGTGGTGCAAACATTTAGATAAATGGCACAGTAACGGGTGTTTTCATTGCGGTTGTAACATCCAACAGCTTCAACCACGATGTTAACTCAGAGTGGACATAAAAACAATAAATAATAGTTACAGTGGAGGGGTTGGTATGTAAACCTATAATGTGTATTTTACATTGAAGACCTAACCCGTAGACCTAACTGAAATGGCCCAGAAGTTCCTGCAGTCAAAAATGGCTCATTCCACACTTAGAAAGGAAAATTTGACAGGCAACACAAAGGTGGCATGTATGTTTTTTAGTTAAAGTTTTACAAGTTTCATTAAAAATTGTGGTTAAACCTTGCTTTTAAAAATAGGGTACTGTTGGGTTCTTAGGATGGGTAGACTAGTTAGCTGGGATGCTAACATCTGTAGCTCATGTTTGAACTGATAAAGACAGTTAAGTTCTGTATTTTTGTTCTCAGTTCTTGTAAAGGCTAAAAAAAAAAAAAAGAAGACATAACCCTCCTCAAAGCACTTAAGTGCAAAGCATTGTTCTTACGACAACCTCCGAGAATTTTCAGCATCGAGGATCCACAGACTGACAGACTTCCTGTGCCTGGTTACGGTTGCTAAGCTATGATTGGACGACCGTCGCAGCAGGGAGGGGTTTAGAGAACGACCAATTAAATACTCTATCATTTTAATATATTGTACATCAAATTCCAATCAGTGCAGTTACTGCATTAGCTCCTGTGTGTATATTCATACGAGCCCGGGCTCCACAAACACACACATATTTAGCAGAGCCGTAATGATTCCAAGGCAATATGACAGCAGCCTGGCTATGAAATGTGTAGACACATTGTGGCTGCGCACGATGAATACTAAAGTTGCTTGGCTTTGGGTGCTGTGTAATATAAAAGTCATTTGCAGTTGGATGACAGTGCCTTGCATTCAAAAGGTATTGTAGTGAAAATTTAATACCAGACAATGCGCTCTGCCAATGGGGACACATCCAGACAACCCAAGCCCTTTTGTACAAGGGTCAATTTCTATTGATCTGAATGACATTGGTGTTGTGCAGTGAGCAGAGATTGTGTGATTTCTACCTGCTCTGATGCAAGATAAAGAGGATTGTAAATCGATTCCATTGATGTTCCTCACCGTTTTTTTCTCCCCTTCATCTCTTCAATTTAGGTTACAGTACAATGGTCTCTATAACCCTGTCTGGGCTCAAAAAAAAAAAAAGGGTCCCCCACGTCTCAAAGATGACACTTCAATAGCTGTTGAGCTGATAAGAATAGCGTGCCACCGAGCATTAACAGTGCATTGTGGGCTCACCCGAAGATAATGCTCGGTGTCTGCGGATGTGATTCTACGAGACAGAAAAGGGGAAAATGTTTCAAAGTAATGATGTCATGTTTGAGGCGTCTGCGAGCGGATGTCTTCAAACACAAGGTCAGAGAACAAGTCTCGTGATGAAAAGCAGGGAAAGAATTCCTTAAAAACCAAGCGGTAAAAATTACACACCAGATCTCTTCTCATCCTCCTCACTCTCATTTGTTTATTTCTAAGCAGTAATTACAATAAATGTGTGGTGTCGCCTGGCTTAATATTCATCGCTGCATTTTTTCCCCTCTTTTTTTTTTTTTTTCTGATTTCCTCTGGCCGACTGCTTGCTCTTAATGATTTTCAACACTGGTTCACGCCTGTTAAAAGATATTAAGCTCAGAGTGGCCTGCAAAGCCAATTACGTTCGGAGGGCTGATGTTTGTGGTCACGGTCTGAGTTGAAGATGTCTACTGCCCCCTGGTGGGCTGTGAATGCAGTTACATGCTGCTAAATGTGTGGAGAAGATATTCAGAAGAAAATCCCACTTATCTCACAAGAAAACTTTACATATTTCCTCGGTAGCTATTTATATTACAGGTCATTACTCTACACAATATGCTGAACTGTAGATATATTTCCTGTTTTTGCTGACCTGCTGTGCACACGCTGAAGCAAATAATTGGATGTAATAATTAGATAATGTACCAGCTGAACACTGTGTGCCCGCATTTTTCATTTATTATTAGTAACAAATTACATATTCAGTTCCAGGAAACACCCTAGGAAACCATTAAGGAATTACAGACCCATATACTGATTGTTTCATTCCATTTGCTTCATATTTTCCAACATGCACAGAATTCAAGTTGTTGTTTTTATTGATTGGTGGCATCTCATAAGTGCAGCAGACTGCCTGGAGGCTGCAGACATTCCTATCTGTTGTTCGCACTGTAACAACCGTCAACAAGCGAAGACTCTCTTCTCCACAACCAGTACAAGACATGAATATCAAACACGCCACATTTAAATTACAGAACTGATGAGATGCGCTGATGAGACTCTTAAAATACGTGTTAGCCAAAGGAAGCTCAGCATGCCTCCAGGTTGGGAAACGAGGAACAATAATTCTTGAATTCCTACTGTAACTTCCTTCTTAATGAGCTATAAAGTTACTTCTGTTACGAAGGCATCCTTTAATAAACGCGCCTTATCCGCCTGAAGATGTAACCTGTTATAACAAGCACATTAGCAGCTGCCATTGACTGAGTAGGAAAGACTGTCTGATGTGATTACACTGCACACCTCAGAGTTACTCATCCACAAAATTAGCTCTAAATGTCCTAACAGCATACAAGCCAATTAGATTGGCTGCTGGAGTTAGGCGATGATGGCAAAACAATGGCCCGATATGAGTCAAATGACCTGTTCTAGCTCTGTGGCGGTGTGCTGTGCTAGCCAAAGAGACAGCTTGGCTTATTTGGCTTGCTTCACACAATGGCAGTTGACAAGCATTTGCTGTAAGCCCTGTACACCACTGATGCCGAACAGAGAAAAAAAGAAAGAAAGTCGGGCAGTTTGTACCTCTGTGAGCCAGTTTCTGTAGGAGGATCCTGAGGCGTTGCAGACCAGAGGAAGAAATATCGTACGTGGACAGGTCTGCACCGGCCAACTCCTGGCACCTTCCAAACACTCCATCTACAAAGAACACAGAGCAGAACATTGTGAAAAACATGTTCATGGGGGATATTTTTTGTTAGCTCAAAGGAAGAAACAACACAAAACTAATTTTTGTAACATATTTTGGGGGGATCTGAGGCTGTTAAACGACATCTACCTGCCCAGATTAAATGCTGTGATGGTGTGAGGCACCCGCAGAGTTTTGATCGTCTGATTTTCTGTTTTGGGGGAGCTAATAGCTGCCATTTTTCCTCTGACAGTGCTACGATAAGCAGCCGTTCATGGCAGGAAGGACTTTATCAGGGACCCTGGTAATCTCCCTATCAGCAGGCCTCCCGCCTCACTCAAAACAGGTTGCTAAGCAACCAACGCCAAAGAGCCCCTATCAGCCCCATAATTCAATGGCTGGTCTAGACCTCTGAAGGATGCTGAGGCTCGGGAGGTCAGAAAGCAGTGTGTAGATGTAAGGCCTGGAATATAAATGACCCGCGTTGTCACCTTCTCTCAGCTGGGAAGATAAATCCTTGCATCTTGTTGGCTAAACTCACTAAATGAAAGTCCACCTTAAAGATGATCTCTGGAGATGAATCCTACAGATTCAATCTCAGCTATTTCCTCTGTGTGTGTGCGTGTATATGTGCAATCATGTGTATTCCCATGTGAGACTATGTGTGGGGATGCCACTGTGATTAGATTGGATCTAATGATGTGAATCAACACTTTGTCATGCACCACAGCTTCCTATTAATTAGCCCCAAGATGTCGGACAATGACAGCAAACATCAATGGTACAACTGATGCTCACTGACATGTGGGCAACCATAGAATACACAAAAACTGATGTCCATTACATGCTCCCATTTTCTGTCTGCTCATCTAATGACATTTCTTACACTGGGGTTATAAAACAGATGAGTGCAAATACAAGGATTTGTGATCGATCGCAGACATGATGTGCCGTTTTGACACAGTAAGGAGCACGTCAAGCTTCATCTTTGCATTAGCAGATAAACATCTCGGAACATAATTTTAACCTTCAACTAAAACAAAGTTAATTACAGTGCCGTGTTCACTGTAAAATTCAGTGACTGATAATTACAATGATATTAATGTGATGTCTGACGAGCCTCTAAATTCAAATCTTATTCTAAACGAGATGCGGGTGTTCTCCTGACTCCCCCCTCCGCCTGTGACCCGTTAAATGACAGCTCTGTACAGGAAAAAGCCTGTGGGAGGCAGTGAATTAGCATAGACTACACAGTACAACGCCCAGGAGTTATTTTGAGATCTCAAACAGCGCAGAGGAAGACTTCCCACCTACAGACACACAGATCATCGCAGACGTGTGAGCATCACAAGACGTCAACTGTCTCGTTACTCTTTGCCAACAACAGCTCATTTCTAATGATATTATCCCTGCTGACACGGTTAATATGATCACTAAATAAGGCTGCATTTTGAAGAAGAATATCTGCTATAATTCATTTTGCCTGTTGCATACAAACAACACGTATTATGTAAGAAATAAAAGCAGGCTGGTGACATAACAAGTGACGGGAAACTGTTAAATGTTTGATGCTCTGCATCCCTCACTGGTTTCCATGGCAATAGCACACGTTACTTCCTTCTCCGTTGTCAGGGACATTCCCGATAGCAAGCAGATACACAGGGACACACAGGGATTTAGTGCATTAAATATAGAAGTCAGAGGTATTTTACAACAAAGAAATCCGTGTTTGGCAGACGTTATGGTTGATTGATTTATCGAGGTGATGCTGAGCCATTCAGAGCCGCACGCACCATGAATCAGAAAGAACCGTTCTGTCACTTTATTGTGTGTATTCACAGTACTGAGAGTATCAAAACAAACAACAATGGCTTATTGTAGTTGACAGCTTGCAGGAAAACACTTATTTTTCCTGTATTTGACAGCTGAAAACAACACTTTAATTCCAGGCCTAAGTGTGTGTTGAGTGCATGGAAGGTTGTCCAAAGCTGAAAATAACACACAGAAATGCAGGGCAGTCAAATAGCAGGGATTTTCCAAAAATATGTCAGTATGAGTGCAAGAGAGCTACGCAGGTTCAAACCATTCAAAACCACGTCTGTTAACAGAGAAGAACATGGTAATTTTCTAATGATCACCTGTCTGGCTTAACGAAATATGAAGCTGACAAGAGATCAATTGGTGCCTTCTTGTAAGACAAGATTAATGCTGCCATGTGGTGGGCAAATGGCAACTGCATTGCAAATAAACCTTGATCAATGTAATCCATAATACATAAAGCAGGCCACAGAATCAATCAGTTAATCAATCCCGAAATGTACAATCATAAATCAGTGACATTCTCACTAAAGAGAAGCTGTGTCTGGATAAGCAGCATGTTGACAGGAATAAAGAAGATTTTCAGGCGAGGAAAAAAAAAAAAAAAAAAAGAGGAAAAAAAAAAAAAAAAAAAGGTGAGGAGCTCTAAAGCCAGACGCCGTCTCTCCTCCCACTGTGACAGACAGAGCGACACCCGGCTGCTGCTAAAGCTATTTAAACTGTGAAAGCTAATGCTCTGGGATAACAGGAGCAAACACTAAAGCTGACAGTCAGCAAAGCATTTCTAAAAGACTGTACGTCAGAGGAAGAGGCAGACGGACCCAGGAGACAAATTAAGACGTATTGGAACAGGTGTATTAGCCGCGCAACTCATGTCATGAAAATGAATAGGCTCAAATCAATGCACCGAGACCGGCCAGATGCAGGCCGCTAATAAAGAAAGGTGCAGGAACAAAAACTAAAGTGATCAGGATGTGATTAATGAAGTGCTTACAGGTTATTCTGGGCTTTTTATGTGACAGACGTGGCTTTGAAATGATAATTATATTTATGCATGCACTGCAATGCACATGGAAATACAGAAATGAATAAAGATAAAGCAGACTCTCAGAGACTCATCAAAACACACAGCCTATTGAATTTAGCTGTGGCGCTTGAATCAACTCTATTATTCCAGCTCTATTTTCATTAACATGTTTTGCTTGTGTGTTTTGTTAAAGCATCTTTTGTCCTTAATACTCAACCGTCTCTTTCCTCAGCACTTCATGTCTGATTATTCACCATTCGCCCCTTCAACCTTGGCGCTCTTTCTCTGCTCGTGCCGTATGCAGATTGCTTGATATTTGTATTTTCTGGTGGTTACTTGTTTGCGCTGCAGTTGCGCTTGCTGCTAATCGATAGGAGCATCACCCAAATCGTTTAAATCTGAAATACAGTGCGGACGTTTCAGAAAATATTGGCCCAAGCGGAGGCAAGATAACCACCAATCGATACAACACTGTTGGTTAAGTGTTTAATAGGAGCCAACGGGCGCCTCGAGGGAAACATGTAGCACTTATCCACTGTACTTTAGCTTAGCTTATCATAGCAGTAAGCCACAGACTCTGGAGAGACGCATCAAATTAAAATGCATTTCCGGCTAATCGCATATCCTTTTGGAAGAACCTCCAGAAAAGTATTCCCCTAAAGAAGACGGTAAAGACTTGGAGAGATCGCATCAAAAACGAGATGTGACAGCAGAAGATCGAATTATATATGGAGGATATTAATTAATGTATTTAATCAATGATGCAATAACAGCTACAGTCCATACTGAAGGCACCTTCTCCAAAAAATAGACTTTGTCATTTAATCAGCTGCTATTTTACCCTATAAAAAATGTTGGCTCCATTTGGAAGTTTTCATGTTTTATTCATCAGTTATTCAATCAAAGCAGATTTCACCTAGGTAGCTCTTAAATGCCTGTACGGCTATCTCCAATGCCCTTCGAAAGCTGTTTGGGTCTCTTACCCAGTCTGCTTTTTGCAAGTTTTTGAAAATCATTTACTGCTGTGTCATACTCTACATTTTTTAATGACTGATTTAACTCCAAGCTCTACTTGTACTTTCAAAACACCTTTTAGTTAACACTTAACTGTTTGTGACACCCCTTTTTGATTTCACCCTGTTTGATTCCCCCAAATCATACGACATCTCCGGCGTTATTGAAGAAACCCACTCAAGTCAGCAACAGGCACACGTATTGCAAGATACATACATCTGCAGTACAAATTACTCTTGGGGTCCAAGAACCTCAGATTCATCAAAAATATATAAACCATAAAGATTCACAAAAAAACCCAATTTTCAGGTCAATAAGCCCACCTAAGAGATGTGTGATACATGTGTGCAGGAACTGACTTTTTGTCAATAAGTCGGATGTCTGCTGGATTCGATTTCTTGCACCACAAACGAGGAGTGTTGCTTTCTACTCACAGTCTTTCCATAACCCAGGATAAAAGAGCAAACATGTAAGGAATTAGCTGAACTCTGTGTGGATTTATTTGCTGTAATGTTCACTGCAATCCTTTGATATGTCCAAATAACTAGATTACAAAACACAACAGAAAAGAATGCATGAATTCCAAAGTAAAGCACATCATTAGCTAACTATATATAACTTTGAGGGGTTATTGGTTACAATTGGAAATTGTCTGTTTGAGAATACAAAGTCTACCCTGTGTTTTTAAGGTTAGTGTAGTGTCAAGTGTCTTGTCGTATAGTTTTGTGCAATTTTTGGGGGGAATTACAGTCATGACTCAATAATCCGACATTAAATGTAAAACCTTCTGTTATGTCGAATAGCAAGGCTGTCGGATTGTCAAGACGGAGATCAACATACAAGGAGGGCTTGATGCTTGAAGGGTAATTTGCTGTTAATATTCATTGCTTATAGTTGTTACAACAACTAGTACGGCTGGTCTGAATAGAACTTTCTGGTCTCTGGATAGTCAGGCCCAATTAATGATGAATATCCGAAAATTCAGCGTGGCCAGGGTGGGGCACTTCCACTCCGGGGGTGCACTCCGACAGGGTGGAAGTGGCCGGAACGCACAAGCATTACTTGGCTGCTGATACCAGTTCAGGATAGTGGTCACACTTTTGTTTCCACTATTGGTGGCGGTGGCTGGGGAGTGGTGCTACCGCCGCTGCC